TTCACATATCTAGTGGCAGTCAATTCTTTTTATGAATTGTCAGATATCCTCTCACAATCTCACACAACAACTTTTGGTCTTCGAAGGAATTATTAGTCAGCAGAAATTCGCCCGTATGTTTTTCTTTCGTGTTCACTTATCTAGTGGCAGTCAATTCTTTTTATGAATTGTCAGATATCCTCTCACAATCTCACACAACAACTTTTGGTCTTCGAAGGAATTATTAGTGAGCAGAAATTCGCACGTTATCCGTTATCACATCAGTCAGTTATATAGAGAGATGACTCGTGTTTTCCTTTGGCGTTCGTCACTTCCGATTCAGGAAACCTGTATTACTCAGCTATCGTAGCAATGATCTCTGTGTTAAAATTATATTTGGAATGTGTTTAACCAGCTCTATCACATATGTGATAATGACTGGCACCAATATTGTCCTTTAACTTGGATGTAGATATTATATATCTATGTTGCATATATACTCAGCCAAATTAAAAACTTGACACTGATGAATTTCAAATTTTTTTTTTTCTGGTAAGTCAAATAAATTTTAAAGTGTTTCTAACGATAGTAAGTAGTAAGAAGCCTTTAATTTCATAAAATTGTAAAGTCACGTGGATCACGTGACTTTTGAGCATATAAAGATGAAAAACCTGAAAAAACACGCGCAAACACAAACTCGTGAGGTCAATCGATGCAAGTTTGCTTAAACTGAACACGCACACGTAACTTGAACTGGAAAAACAAATTAAAATTGTTATCTTCATCTTTGTTAGAAAATGCCGCGCCTTTCAAATGTAGAACGTCTACGTGCTATAGGTAGGTTCTATGCTGGTCAGTCTGTGGTCACTGTTGCAAGAGCCTTTAATTGTTCACGCCAGACAATAATTAATCTTAGAATTAGAGTGCTTCAAACTGGAACTATTGCCGACCGCCCAAGGGCGGGAGCGCCACGTGTGACGTCACTCCAGAGAGATCACGCAATACGATTACGTCATCTTAGAAACAGATTTGTCACTGCGACCTCCGTACGTAACTAACGTACGAAAATTAAAATGGTAGCTGGATTTTTTTTCGCACGTATACAGTGAATGGCCATTTTGCTCAGTAATCCCAGCCAGAATTTGGCTATTTTTTTTAAAATTGCGTTAAGGTTTTAAATTTTTGTTTAGAACTGAAATAAATTAACTTTTAGTCAATCCCCACGCTAAAAACATTAACAGAATTGATTGTGTATCTGAAATAGACACGACCCAAGCACAAAATAGTGCCAATATGCCGACGTCAAATCTAGAGTTGTAGATGATGTTATTTTTGTGAAAAATCATTGGAAGAAGCGATAAGACGTTCTGTACGGATTATACAGTCCTAAAGGCTGCAAGAAGGCTATTGTTTACAATGTAACGTTGTGTCTTGTAATGTTGATAATGATCATAATGATGGTGTTTACATTTGTTTGTTGATGTGACCTCACGACCTGTGACGTTTAGATAACGTCATATGGATATCATGGCTATTCACTGTGTCAGAGTCACAGCGTTGACGATGGCCATGATGGAAAGGACGTTCGAACGCACGATCTCATCGACATAGCGTTGTGCTGTCATGTTCCCCCTGATGTGCACCAAGTCTGTCCTGGCATTATAAGAGATGGCTGACCACATCATGACACTGCCGCCACCCAATACGTCGACTTCCTGTATGCAATTTGCAGCGAAGTGTTCACCTCTTCTGCGGTAGTCACGGGCCTTTCCATCCTGTCTGCGGAGCATGAATCGGGATTCATCGCTGAACCATACGCGTCTCCATCTTCCAGGAGGCCATACCCTGTGCGCTTGACACCATTGCCGTCGTAGCTGGCGATGTTGCCTGGTCAAAATTACGCCTTCCGGACAGTCTGGTGCGAGATCCTGCGCAGTCCCGGTATTGAGGATATGGAGACAGCAGTCATCGTCCTTTGGCGTAGGTGGTTCAACCGGATGTAGCGATCCTGGGCAATAGTGGTGACACGTGGTCTACCGATCTGGGAAGGACACGTGTTGCTGGTAGCGGTTCCATAGCCTGGATATGGTGCTAGGGGGCACATTAAAAAAAAACAAACTCGCAACCTCTGATCTGGTCTCGCCATCTTGCAACCGTCCGATGTCGTTGTTCCTCTGAGTTTCGTCCAGTCTTGGCATTATAAAAACTGTGCTTAGAGTTTAAACCGAAGTGAAGCAGAATCGAGAACCCTGCACTTTTATAGTGATTATTGCGCCTTTTGCACGTGCATACCATGCCATGGCGTAAGTGACTCAAATCCACTGCAGTTGCGTTTGCGCGATTTTTCCCTATTACCTATATGTGTAGAAAGTTATTGATTTCCGAATGATTCTTGCGATGAAAATGTATTTTGTAAGCTCCATAACACAATACATTTAGCGTTGGTAACAATAAATTTCCTATTATTCATTTTTATACGGAAATTCAGTTTTGCGTTACCTTTTTTTGAAGAGTATAGAAATAGCCCGTACATTCCTTTGTTTTTATTCATTGATACTTCAGTCATTTATATAGAGGGATAAATCGTGTTTTCCTTTTGCTATTGTCACTTCCGCTTCTTGAAATCTTCGTTACGCATCTATTGTAGCAATGATCTTTGTGTTAAAATTACTTTGGGATATACTCTATCAGCTGAAAAAGGAATCCAGGTTGTCCGTCATATTTGAAATAAACATGTCTATCGACGTCACTGGGGGGGGGGGGGGCGTTCTGAAGTGCAGAAATCAGGTGATATTCTCTTCTAAAGGGCAATTTTATTTATAGGTCAATTGTGGCACCATGCTCACGGACGAAGAATTTTGTCCGCCATACTTGAAGCAAATCAATCTTCTACTGGAATTTCGTTATGTGTTCAGTTTGGAACCGGTTCTGGAGTAGGAACCCAGCAGGGGATTTTTTGTTCTGAAGTGCTGTTTTATTTACTTTGGGGCTATACCCTATCAGCTGAAACACGAATAAAAGTTGTCCCGTCATATTTGAAATAAACCTCTCTATCGGGGTCAAAGTTGTGCGTCATATTTGAAATAACCCTCTCTATCGGGGTCAGTAGAGGGCGTTCTGAAGTACAGAGACCAGGTGATATTCTCTTCTGAAGGGTATTTTTTATTTATAGGTCAACCGTGGCATCATTCTCACGAAAGAAGAATTTTGTCCGCTATACTTGAAACAAATCAGTCTTCTACTAGTTATACCGGGACTTTGTGATGTGCTCAGCTTGGAACCCGTTCTGGAGAAGGAACCCAGGGGATTATTTGTTCTGAAGTTGTATTTTATTTACTTTGGGATCATACCCTATCAGCTAAGAAAGGAATCAAAGTTGTCCGTCATATTTGAAATAAATCTACGTACTCGGGTTACTAGGGGGCGTTCTGAAGCCAGAAGCCAGGAGATATTTTGTTCTGAAGGGCACTTTTAAAGTTTGCCTTAGCAACGTGAACATTTGTAGCGAAAATTAGCTTTGTCCGCAAAAATTTGAATTAATTCGAATTTTGGGGGATTCGGGGGTCTACAGCCCCTAAACCCAGGGGATGTGCAACTTAAGAATTCCCATTCTGATCATCGGCCATCATGGTGCCTCGGTTAGGCATAGTGCCAATTTTGTCCGCGAGTTTAGAAACAACGGTCAGCTAGCTCCTCTACTATGAAGGGAACTTTTTATTTATAGGTCATTTGTGGCACCATTCTCACAAAAGAAGAATTTTGTCCTCCATACTTGAAACAAATAAGTCTTCTAGCGGGATTTCGTGATGTGTTCAGCTTGGAACACATTCTGGAGTAGGAACCCAGGAGATTATTTGTTCTGAAGTTGTGGTTTATTTACTTTGGGACCGTATCCTATCAGCTGAAAAAGGAATCAAAATTGTCCGTCATATTTGAAATAAATCTACGTACTCGGGTTACTAGGGGGCGTTCTGAAGCCAGAAGCCAGGAGATATTTTGTTCTGAAGGGCACTTTTAAAGTTTGCCTTAGCAACGTGAACATTTGTAGCGAAAATTAGCTTTGTCCGCAAAATTTGAATTAATTCGAATTTTGGGGGATTCGGGGGTCTACAGCCCCTAAACCCAGGGGATGTGCAACTTAAGAATTCCCATTCTGATCATCGGCCATCATGGTGCCTCGGTTAGGCATAGTGCCAATTTTGTCCGCGAGTTTAGAAACAACGGTCAGCTAGCTCCTCTACTATGAAGGGAACTTTTTATTTATAGGTCATTTGTGGCACCATTCTCACGAAAGAAGAATTTTGTCCTCCATACTTGGAACAAATAAGTCTTCTAGCGGGATTTCGTGATGTGTTCAGCTTGGAACACATTCTGGAGTAGGAACCCAGGAGATTATTTGTTCTGAAGTTGTGGTTTATTTACTTTGGGACCGTATCCTATCAGCTGAAAAAGGAATCAAAGTTGTCCGTCATATTTGAAATACATCTACGTACTCGGGTCACTATTGGCCAGTGGGCGTTCTGAAGACAGAAGCCAGGTGATTTTTTGTTCTGGAGGGCACTTTTCAAGTTTGCCTTAGCAACGTAAACATATCTAGCGAAGATTAACTTTGTCTGCAAGAATTTGAATTACACCGATGTTTCCGCGATTTCGGATGCGTACAGCCCCAAAACCCAGGGGAGGTGAAACTTAAGAATTCACATTCTGATCATCGGCTATCTTGGTGGATCCGTCAGGAATAGTGTCAATTTTGTCCGCGAGTTTAGGAACAACGGTCAGCTAGCTCCCCGACTATACTCAGTGATAAACATCCGCAGACTGTCCCATGCTAACCTTGGACTGCCGTTACTGTTATGGCCATTGCCAATTTGGCCGGCTTGTTATTATCAATACCCCCCCCCCCCCAACAAACTACACATTACTAATGATTTGAGAGATTAACCCTTTAGAAAGTAACTAATATCTCAATTATTGTGTGCATAATTTAAAAAAAACAACAAAAAACAAAATAACAAGTGATATGCATAAATAAACAATATAATATATTATTACGGAAATTCTCAAAAGGATTATAATACTGATATATTCAACATATAATAATGTACAAACTGTATACCGTAGGAGTAACACAATTGATCGCAGGTAATTTTAAATATCAAACATGATCCAGTAAATATCACAGCTGTAGCATAGATTAAACAAACATAAAACCGGTGTTAAACTGTAGATAGTCGATAATCCCAATAACTCTTTCGCCACTTATTTGCCTGAATTCGATTGATATCTATCCGGTTCATTCAGATTATTTTAAAAATGACCTGGAGGTCGGGTGTTCGATCCCTGCAATGGTGGAGAAAGTTTATCCAGATTTTCTGGCGTGGTTCCCCCTTGTCAGGGATGCAGGAAGAAGGGCCAGACAAGGACAGCTGTCTAGTCGTTCAGATGGTACGAAAAACCGAGGGGCCGTGTACACATTGGCATGCACGTAAAATAACCCTTGAAAGTTGGAATTCGATACAAGAGTAGGCCGTAGTGCCGCTGTCCGGGCAAAATCTCCCTCATAGCACACTGTATGGCGTATGCCCGTTTTTATTATAGCCCAGTTCGGAGCTGAACATTAGGACGTTAAACCCCATTTCATTTCATTTAAAAATGATAATTTGTTCAGCAATCTTATTTATTGTTAGATGTTGGCTATATAACAAGCTTGACGGTCGATTTCATGGCAAGTTTCATCCATGAACACCGACATCACGATGATATCTAACCTAGATTTTCTTTATTTAATTGTCTGGAATACCTTGACTCCTTATATAGATCAAGATGACGTCTAAACTAGTTTTTGTTTTTTCAATCGTCTAAAACACTTTCCAGCACTACTGTTTGTTAAATTTACTGGCCTACTGGTTCAACGAGGCTAGTTAGAGACTATATAACAATATGTGATCATAACACAACAGAATCTGTTACACCCTTCTGCTTTGTAATATCTCATTTAAGCGCCTTTTGTTCCCCGAATTAGCGAGGAATACAGTCCCGACCTAAACTGAGAGATAAACACGCCAAAAGTGAGGCTGATGTCCCCCGCGAAATCCAAAAATAATTAGATGACACATCCTAATCAATTGCACATTTATCGTTTTGTAAAGTATCGAGCAATCAACATTCTACCTAAATTAGAAGAAGAGTTATTATCTTCCAAAGTCTCGACCAATCAGATTGAAGTATCTACATACTTAGCCTAAGCAGAAAATGCTCAATCATCGAACTTAGCCAAGGTATTGATGCAATGAAACTATACCCCAAGTTTCATCACTCACTTAATTATCGTGTCCCAAAGCATCAACCAATCAAATTGCTTATCTCTGTTTAGCCTAAGCAGAAAATGCTCATCTTCAAACTCCACCAAGGCATTCACCTAATAAACACCAACATAAAGTTTGAACATTCTAGCTCAATTAGGAGATTTATTGTGTCCCAAAAAGTGGCGGACAGACAGACGGACGGACAGGCGGATAGACCTATTTTAATAGTCCCCTGAGGGACAAAAATGTAGGCCTAGTATAGTTTGCATTAGTCTCAAACACACTGATTTGATATTAGTCGACAGAGAGGTCGAAGACAATATGGTTCCGGGTAACAGAGACTAGGTTTCCACCACCCATTAGTAATTTTTACTTGGTTAAAACCAAATAAATCAATCTGTTTGCATAGCTGATAACTTTCTGAGCATACTTAAAGGTTTTAGTTTTGGAACAGCTCAATTAGAAGGAGATTTATTGTGTCCCAAAAAGTGGCGGACAGACAGACGGACGGACAGGCGGATAGACCTATTTTAATAGTCCCCTGAGGGACAAAAATGTAGGCCTAGTATAGTTTGCATTAGTCTCAAACACACTGATTTGATATTAGTCGACAGAGAGGTCGAAGACAATATGGTTCCGGGTAACAGAGACTAGGTTTCCACCACCCATTAGTAATTTTTACTTGGTTAAAACCAAGTAAATCAATCTGTTTGCATAGCTGATAACTTTCTGAGCATACTTAAAGGTTTTAGTTTTGGAACAGCTTTTCGTCTCGGTGAAGAGGTTCCTCCTTGAGACATCTGAAGAATATTTTGAAAACTGGTGCGGAGAGTTTTAGTCTTCTGTAAAATAATATATGGATATGTTACTGAATTGGACAAGAAAAATACGAACTAATTTCAAAATAAGTTTCATAATGTTACAGTCGCCGAAAAAGACTATGGGGCGTGGTATCCAATGAAATTTTCAATTAGCCTAGTCCCAGAAATAGAGGTAAAGATATAAGTGTTACAAGCAATATTTTGGTGTATTTTACAGCTAAAAACATATACACGGGGCAGAATTCTATGGAATACATTTCTCAGTAGTAAATAACAGCAATTGTATTCCATTAAATTATTTACTTTGTATTAGCACATGTTTAACACAAGTTAGCATGGTGTAGCACCAATGTAACGCAAGGCTAACTCAAACCCAGGCCTCGTATGTATCTAAACAGTCCATTGAAAGTAAAATCGAGCAGGAGTCATAAAATCGGTTGCCTATATTTAAATGACTCGCATTCCCTCTAATTACGCAACAGGTTGACGATAAAAAAATCGAGTTACTAATGGAGGGGCTAGATATATATAGGCCAATATGAAATAAATTTCTGATTTTAGAATGCTGTTATGGTTACGTGTTTAAGCGTAGGCCAACGTTTGAACCACGATAATGGAATTTATTTGTTAGTCGACGTGTGTGAAAATTGTGTAACAATATTTATCACCCAATAACACTTTCTACAGTAGATATCGCTTGTGTGATAATCTACTGGGCGATATCTCATCAGGAGATATATCTTTACATGAATTTGATTGGTCAATTAAAAAGGAACTACTTTTTTTTTTTTATCAATATTGTTGGAGGAGAATTCGCAATTACCATAAAGGTGTTTGATTCGTGGCTTTGACTAAAGGAAAAACCGGGTCAATATATACGACTTTGCAACGTTCGCAGGATGACTTGCTGTCAAAAATGGTGTATCACTACGCCGTAATGTAATCAGGTTCAGTAAAATAAAATCTATACCAAAGAATTATATTTATTTATTTATTTGTGCGCGTAAGAAAGTGTGATAAATAAAATCTTCTACTCGTTTTTTTTTCTACTTTAACGACTTGTGTTGATATTTTTTGATATCCAAAAAGACTAGTAGGAGATTCTCTCTATATATACCTGCAACGACTGACTTAAAGCAGCATTATGATCTTTTTTCATCTTTGCTTCATAATCCAAAATATATTTCGGGAACAACGATTTCTCATCAAAGGCAGTGTTCAGTGCTGAAAATGATGTAAGATATATTATAATTGTACACATTATTATTTTTAGTGACGTTTAATGACCCGTTGTTTCGTGATATAGGCTACTGATGCAAAGAAACAAGTACTGAAAAACGAGCACAAAGCAATTCATTTTAATAAAATCTATACAATGATCATCATGTTGGGTTTGTGACCGAGAGAATTAAGCCATTTAGTCTATATAAATCATCAGCCCGTTTGTTTACATACATAACATGAAATATACATTGAGTAAACACTGAAAGTGTTATTTACTCCTGGTATAAAAAGCCGATGATAATCACTTGCATTTTTCGGACAATATCTGCATGTATACTCTATTGATTATTTAACATTCAATTGAGGAAAACAAAATCAAAATATCTCCCAGGCTGGATTTAATCGGATTGAAAAGAGGCCCATCAAAAGAGTTTATCAATGATTCGGGGGGGGGGGGGGGGTAATAGAATTATGCTTATGTCACAATAATTAATATGGATCTTAATGAAAAACGGCCATTAGACATACGACATTGGATTTAGAAGGTCAATTAGTTTTAAGCAGAAAAGAGGATCAAAATCCAGCCCCCCCCCCCCGAAAAAAAACAAAAAACAAAAAAAAACGAACGAAACAAAAACAATAATAATAAAAAAATTCTTACACTCAGATAATGCTGGGAGACGTGGAAGATACTCGGTACTTTGGGAACGTTCAACAAAATATTTCTCTGCATCAGGTTTGATTAGTGTATCAACCGATTTTAGTTCCGATGTTCGCAGAGCCTGAAACGTGAGAGCAGATTGACAATAGATAATACAAGATAGGCATATGGTAACAACGCGTAGTACTTGACATCTTTGCGAGTCAAAGTAAAACAGTAAAATTTTCCATGTGAAGGAACCTTGTGTTGTATTAAAAGCGCCAAACCCCTCAATATTTCCATAATATTCGAAATTAAAAGCTCAATTTGAATTCAATATTGGCCCATTTCAATCAATACTTGTGTTATCTTGTGAAAATATGGAATCCTAATATCCAATATTTAAGACACGATGAACATTTGATATTCACTACATGTGTCGTGTATTCTATGATTTCGGTGCCATTTGTAATTAACAAAAAAAACCCCCAAAAAACATGTCCTACAAGACAATGTGGAAGTACGAGGTTATAGTAATAGCCGATTGCCAAACGACAAATTAATAATAAAACGTCTAGATATGGACCAAGCAGGCGTAAGCGACTGTCGTTTAATTTGGACTGCTCAAGTATTTAACCGAACGTTAAATGATTAGAAATTACAATAATTATTTTAATTGAATACAAATCACTATACATTTTACATTAATGTGTCCTTCCAGTTTTAGACTGGGGCTAAATTGTCACGAGTTATTTAATATTAAAATCAACATCTATTCAGTATATATATTCACCTGAATATCCCATCCCATGTCTAACATAAAACACAAATTTATATGGAAAATAATCACTGGGTAAGACTTGAGAACTACAAGAGGAACTTGTTGAAAAGTCTTACTTGAGAACTACAAAAGAAATTTGTTGAAACATTACATAGTGTGAAATCAACCCAGTGATTGTTTTCCATATAAATTTGTGTTTTATATCATATGTTCAGTTATTAAATGCCGTAGGCCTATAAGTATAAGGATTTCATCCCATGTCTAGTACACACTTCCATGTATTTAAGTCGAGTAGAAAAATGAAGGCAACAAACAAACAAACAACAAGATTTGACGTGAGATTGTTTTAATAATCATTTACGGTAGGCCTAGTATTGCCTAATCTCCATCTTTTTTTGATAGTGAAATACACTCTCATTTGTAGATGGAAACGTGTCTGGTGTCCCCAATATCTCCGTATTGGATATCTAGTGTGCAATATGGAATTTAAAAAAAAGAAAAGATGCAAGATACTTAGATGACCAATCATTCCGTTTACAGCCGTAATCCCTGAGACAGCAGTGTGAAGTTTTATATTCCTTTCACCCCTATTTACCAATGAGATCGTCCAAGTGCTAACATCCGATGAAAATCGAGTCTTGAAGAAAGAACTCTGAATTTACTAGATGAAGAATTTGGAACTTCGTGGTAAGCAGGACTGTTTGGTCCATTTTTAATAAATGTTATCATTTATCAATTTTCCATAATTTGGTCATTGTCAAATAACGCTATTATTATTAACACACATCGTCTGCTGGCATAACTGACGGATGTGGGAGTAAGCTCTATATCATATGATAGCTACCGTACAAGCTATAGTCACTGATAGTGGAATTACTGTAACAACAGTGCTGAGGTTGGCGAGGTTTGTGCTCTATTTACATTGTATCTTGATTTAGTAACTTTTCTAGCCTTACCTATTACTTTCTATTTCCTTAATATCTATTTTTGCAATTTATGACTTTGTCTTATGATTTAATGTTCTGCACATAGGCCCAAGTTAAAAATATCTGATTTCTATTAGTAGGCTACTACTACTAGTTAGTTCTAGTTATATGATGTTCTTTGATGGCACGGAGTAAGTGAAGTTCCATGATTTTTATTTTTCATATTTTTGGAATAAGTTTATTCCATTATTACACCGGCCAAGTGGCCTAGCTACGACTATCATTTTACTGGTTCCATAGAATTGGTGGTTATTTTAAACTTGAAGAGCTAAATCATTAATATTTGGGACCTAGAAATTGACACAAATGGGTCACAACGCATATAATAATGTTATATAAACTGATTTAAATTCAATTGTTTCCGTTTTTACTCTAATATCAAATCAAATCGAATGGCAATCGGTAGCATCTGATTCCAGTCTAAATAGTATTTATTGTGCATGCTCTCCAGATAAGAATATGGCGTCACTGTTTGACATGACTTGTGGTGTATGTCTAGCCTCGTTCTTCGAGTACCTTGAACAAATGGGACTGAAACGGATTATGGTACTCAAGGGTGTGGATTTGTCATAACTTTTGTGGGGGACGGACAAACTCTGGAACCTGGAACATTTCATTACCAAACCAAAATAATAAATACGAACAGTTTACTGTACTAGTGTTATTTCAATGAAAGCTGTAACTAGGGGTAATATGATGACGATATGGAAAAATTGACTACACGTACCTACATCAAAGCTGCACAAATATTAATTGTTCATGAAGTTAAGTGAATCGTCCAAAGATGTTCATTCTACGATCAGGGACACAGACAAGGTCATTTCGGGACTATTCTCGATGAATATCTTGGAGACATGAACGAGGTCATTTTGCACCGAATATCTTGGAGACATGAACGAGGTCATTTTGCACCGCACACACCATCAGGTGGTTCGCTCGTTTTTGGGTCATGGAGTTGCGCAGCCAAGTTTTGATTGCCTTCATGAAGTTTGAAGATGAGCATTTTATGCTTAGGGTAAGAAGAGATAAGCAATTTGATTGGTTGATGCTTTGGGACACGATAACTTTAGTTCTAATTAAGTGAGAGTGATGAAATTTGGTGTATAGTTTTATTACATCAACAATACCTTGACTAAGTTCGATAATGGAACATTTTCTGCTCAGAGTAAGCATAGGGATAAGCAATTTGATTGGTTGAGACTTTGGAGCTTGACAACTTTGAATCTAATTGAGTGATAGTGGTGAAACAATTTGATCGGTTGATGCATTAGGACACGATAACTTTGGAGCTTGACAACTTTGATTTTAATTAAGAGTGATACAGGTGAAACTTCATGTATAGTTTCATTACATCGATCAGTACCTTAACAAAGTTCGATGCTGAGCATTTTCTGCTTAGGCAAAGTAGAGACTTCAATGTAATTGAGACTTTGAAACACAATGACTCTCCTTCTAACTGAGGTAGAATGTTCAAACTTGGTGTAGGTGCCTGTTAGGTGAATGCCTTAACAGGGTTCAATCATGCACATTTTCCACTAAGGCTAAGCACAGATAAGCAATGGTATTGGTTTAGACTTTAGAACATAACTTTGGTTCTAATTGGGTGAGAGTGATCAAACTTCGAGTATAGATTCATTATATCAATACCTTGACTAAGTTCGATGATGAGAATTTTCCGCTTAGGCTAAGTAATGATAAACAATTTGATTGGTCACGACTTTGGAACATAACTCTGCTTTTAATTGAGGTAGAATGTTTAAACTTAATGTAGATGTTCATTAGGTGAATGTCTTGACTGAGTTCAATGATTCCCTCTAAAGCTAAGCAGAGCTAAGCACTTTCATTGGTTGATGCTTTGGGACAAGACAACTTTGATTCTAACGGATTGAGAGTGATGAAACTTAGTGTATAGTTTCACAACCAGGTATCGTACTTCAAAATCTTGACCGAGTTTGATCGTGAACATTTTATGCTAAGACTAAGTTAGATAATCAGTTTGATTGCTCCATACTTTTGAAAAAGATAAGTATAGGATATTAACCTACCAGAGGTTGATATGGTAGAGAACGGGCGGGCGTTCTCTACCATATCAATCCGAGGGAGAGTAGGTTTATATCCGACATATACAACGCCATTTCACCCTTAAATTTAATTGGCTCTTCCATTAAAAGGCAACAACGATTGGATAATTGCTCGATAGTTTCTGCCAAATAGCGAAAATTACCGTAGTAATCACGTGCATGTTTTTATTTATACGTCGCCATTTTGGACTATTGAATTGAAAGCAAAAACAAAATGGATAGTAATATGAAGTCAGACGAATAATCAATCCTTTTTAGCCAACATATTGACGATGGAATAGATGTGAATGCAAATATCGACGAGGATCTATCCAAAGCCTGCAGAAAATTTGGACCAAAAGGCATTCTTTTCCAAGAATTCTGACAGTGAACCATGATTGAAGGTTTTCGGTATGTTCAGAGAAGGATTTGACCGACTGTTTTAAGTGGACTGTACCCAAAAATACTTTACAAAGGAACTCTTGGGCGATAAATACTTTCAAGTCTTGTAGTGTGTGGAGAAATAATCGCAATGTGGACAAAAAGAAAATTCTGAAAGATGTCTTAGACATGGATAACCGATCTAAATACATGTATGTCGATAAGTACGTCGACTATTTCGGTCCTGAATGTTAGAAACTGTACCATAACAAATTTTAATTGTCAAAAGAATAAAAATTTATTTCTGTGGTTTTTTTTGTATTATTTCGATCATCTACGTCATCAGCGGTTGATATGAGCCGAATATATTGACCTGAGATGACGTCATTAGCGGTTGATATGAAATATCAACCTGTCATGACGTCATGTCATCATCGGTTGATATGAACGAATATATCAACCTATGATGATGTCATGACAGGTTGTTATGAGATATAACTGCTATGGACATCAAAGTAAAAACTACCGCCAGTTGTATATATGTGCAATTAATTAATATGTTTCATCTATTTATTTTGGGACTTCGGCACGGGACATCAGCCCCACTGTTGTCTTTTTAAAATAAAAATGGGAAATGCAAATGAGAAATATTTGTAATGCAGTGAGAATTAAATAACAGATTCTCTGAAATGTGGTTGATTGTATATCTTGTGAAGGTTAGTACACAATTGAAGAAAGCAGTGTATGTAACACCTTTGTAATTTATGGATTAGGAAATAGACTCCCCATAAATAAAGGATTCACTGATTATAACTTTTTTATACGCCCACATTGAAATGTGGTCGTATATTGTTGTCGCCCCTGTTCGCCGGTCGATCAGGCGTCCACAATTGCTAGTGGACGCTCTAGAGGCTAAAGTTAATATCCGATTGATTTTAAATTTATACACAGTGTTTAAGGTCATGAGACGAAGAAGTCTATTCATTTTCAGCGATTTTCAATAATTACTGCCAGAGTTACAGCCCTTGATCACTTCAAAAAATCTTGTGGACGCTCTAGAGGCCAAAGTTAATATCCGATTGACTTTAAATTTATACACAGTGCTTAAGGTCATGACACGAAGAATCCTATTGATTAAATCTTGTGACGCTCTAGAGGCTAAAGTTATCATCTGATTGACTTCAGATTGATACACAGAGTTTAAGATCTTGATACGAACAAGTAAATTTTTATGACTTGAACAGCTAAATCCATGATATTAAAAGTTTTGTATACTAAGCGTTAGCATAGGGCAGAACTTTATAAAAAACAAACAAATTCTATAATGGTTTTCTGATAATTACTTCATGAATTGTTACTCTTAATCAGATTTTAGTGTTTTATAAATGTTTCATTACTGAAAAAAGTAAAAATATGCGACAACACTTGTTGACTGCCTGGACGATTTAGCTGCTGTGGGCGTATGTTTCGTTGTATGGCAACCTACCTTTATTATGAACTAATGTGTCAGTATTGATAGGAGAACTTTAAGTAAATAATATTTTGTTGTCAACTCGTAATCTGGGTGTAAACAGAACATGGACTGGTCTATGCCACAGGATGTGACCAAGTTGGCAAACATAGTTGTTTGTTTGGATTTACAACTTGGTCCAATGCAAGGCTTTACCTCAGGACCCACAGTAGTCTCTACTGTTTATTTGGATGATTCTGCACTTGGATGATGTTCTATTCAGGAAGAAAAGAGATCTGCATATGCAGCATTTTATAGTTGACAAAATTGTTATACCATTCTCCATGTAATGTCACAGATTGAAAAACTATGAAATTTTAAACTTCTAAACTCCATTGTACAAATCATACATTTACGTGTATTGCTCTATAAATAATCTTTTTATATATTCCTACTACCATGGACCATATTATAAGGTCCATGCTACTACATTAACCTGCATAATAAATGTCTCTTGCAAGTCTTAATTTATACTTAGCATTGTTGTTCACCATAACATTATATTATCCAATTGGGTATTATAATAGATTTCCAAGATTAAATGAACTAATAAAGTTTGTGTATTACAAAAACTAATGTATATAAAAGTGAGAGAGAAAGTTTGTATTTTGAAAAAAAAAACCCAACAAAAATCTTTTTTTTTTATATTTCCTTATATACTATTCAAAAAAAGTAGGGGATATTTGATTTTTAAGTGTTATTAAAGTCACCTAATGAAACTGACGAAGAAACAAATGACAAAATGAAATGAAGTTCACATTCATCGATTTATTCCAAATGATCGTTAGACTAAGTAAGGCACAGACTGACCATTATAAGGGTAAAATGATACCCGGGGTCAAACAGCAAAGTTACCACAGCATCACAACCAAGTCAGTAACGGGTAAATCCTCCTCTGTTTGCCAAACAAGCATTGATCCGACGTGGCATACTCCTAATGAGACGTCTAAGGTCATTTTGGTCCAGATTGTCCTATTCCTGTTGCAACACAGCAGCAAGTTCTTGGACATTGGCAGGACGTTGTTGACGTTGACGTAACCTTTGTCCAAGCATGTCCCAGACATGCTCGATGGGGGAGAGGTCGGGACTCAGTGCTGGCCAAGGTAATGTGGTGATGTTCTGTTGGAGGTAACCTGTAACGATCCTGGCCCTGTGACATCTTGCGTTGTCATCCTGGAAGATGAAACGGCGGCCATGACGTCGTGCAAACGGCACAACATGGACTGCCAAGATGTTGTCCCGGTAGTACGGGCCTGTAACACGCCCTGCAACAACATGTAAAGCCGTTCTTCCAGCAACAGTGATGCCTCCCCACACCATAACAGAACCACCCCCAAATCGATCATGTCTGATGACGTTAACGTCTTGGAAGCGCTCGTTTCGACGACGCCACACCCTCCTACGTCTGTCCAAAAAATCAACAGTGAACCTTGACTCATCTGAAAACATCACATTGCTCCAGCGTCGATTATCCCAGTGTTGACGATCCCTACACCAACGACGTCTTGCCTGAATGTGATGATCTCTCAAACAAGGGATCACGCGAGGACGTCGGGCGCGAAGGTGACCCCTATGCAGTCGATTCCGAATCGTCTGGCCACTCACTCTCACACCAGTGTCTGTTTGAAGACGAGCGCAGATCTGATTTGCTGTGATGACACGATTTCTCAAGGCCAAGGTACGGATAAATCGATCCTGGGCTTGAGTTGTCGCCCTTGGTCGACCTGAGCGTGGTCTGTCCTGTACAGATTGTGTATTATTATTTATCCCTGTATATGGCTTCTTCATGCATAACTTGTATAATAAAGATACATTCCCACAAAATTATTTATCCTGTGGTTATTTTCAATAAAAGTATGGTAATTTTGGTATGTATGGAAAGTAGAAACATCCAATCTTACTAGAAAAATACTGGATCGTAATGGAGTGCATACAGAACAAAAATGTAAGGGTTTCCCTAACCAGCAACCTGACAATTAGAGATGTCTGCTCGACTTGTTATTTTCACATTCTTGCCAGTCATTATCACATATGTGATAGAGCTGGTTAAACACATTCCAAATATAATTTATACATAGAGATCATTGCTACAATAGCTGAGTAATACCGGTTTCCTGAATCGGAAGTGACAAACGCCAAAGGAAAACAGAGTCATACCTCTATATAACTGACTGATGTGACGAGTGATAACAGATAACGGCCAAATTTCTGCTCACCTAATAATTCCTTCCAAGACCAAAAGTTGTTATATGGGACTGTAAGAGGATACCTGACAATTCAATAAAGTAATTGAATGTCATTAGATAAGAGAACACAAGAGAAATAGTCCGTACATTCCCTTGTTTATATTCATTCTATACCTTATAAAAACATGGTAATGCACAGACTTTTTCTGTTTTTCTTTCGTGTTCTCTTATCAAGTGGCAGTCAATTCTTTTTGTGAATTGTCAGATATCCTCTCACAGTCTCACACAACAACTTTTGGTCTTGGAAGGAATTATTAGTGTCAGTCCGCGGTCCACAATTGCTTGTGGATGCTCTAGTGGCTAAAGTTAGTATCCGATTGACTTTAAATTTATACAGTGTTTAAGGTTATGAGACAAAAAAGCCTATCGATTTGCAGCTATTTCTGATAATTACTGCCAGAGTTATGGCCCTTGATCACTTTGAAAAATCTTGAGGACACTCTTGAGGCTAAAGTTAATATCAGTGTTTAAGGTCATGAGACGAAAGAGCCTATTGATTTTCAGCGATTTCTGATAATTACTGGCAGAGTTATGACCTTTGATAATGTTGAAAGATCTTGTGGACACTCTAGTGGCTAAAGTTAATATTGATTTTCAGCGATTTCTGATAATTACTTGCAGAGTTATGGCCCTTGATAACTTAGAAAGATCTTGTGGATGCTCTAGAGGCTAAAGTTAATATCCGATTGACTTTAAATTTCGACCATTTTTGATAATTACTGCCAGAATTATAGCCCTTGATCTCTTTGAAAAATCTTGTAGAAGTTCTTGAGGGTAAAGTTAATATAAATTGTTTAAAGTCATGAGACAAACAATCAAAACAAATTCTAATGTTTTACTGATAATTACTTCATGGGTTATTACTCAGATTTTCATGTGCTGTAAATGTTCTCATTACTGACAAAAGAAAAAATAGACGACAACACTGGTTGACTGCCAGGATGACTTAGCTGCGGTGGGCGTATGTTTCATTGCCTGGCAACCTATCTTTTCACATGTTTCCTATCACATGACCGACACAGACAAAATGTGTAATTTAAAAAAGAAAAAAATGACTGATAAAGAATAGCGATTTAGCTCCTTTAACTTTGAAGAATCCTATGAACATTTCACCCAATCCGCTTGAAAGTTAAGTGCATTATTTGAATTAGTATAATAAAGAAGCTTGGTCATGTACAGTTAAAGATATATTCCCGGTTACAAACTGGGTGATTTGATGATATATTTGGACTAAAAATATATTTTCAAACTAATTAATTTATCATAATTTTGCTCGAAATCCTTCTCAAAACATCGCAATTGTGTACCCCGGCTATAAAAACTTGATTAAAAGAGGTCATGTTTGTGTCACGTGACACAACGGGTGCGATGTCGGAGGAGAATTCATTGCATACAAAAGACAATGTTGCCTTTATCGCTGACTATTTATTACAAATATCGAAGCCTAATTAAATTCTCTGATTATCCACTGCCCGCGTCTTTTTCCGTGATTTTTATCTTAGAAAGTGTTGTATGTCTAACCCTTCATAAAGTTTATCAACATGTACATCAAGCACTCAATCTACGCGTGCAACCTTGGACGTCACACGTGCAGACACTCCTAATCATCCGGTTGTTGATTAGGGAAACCCATACTTTTTGTCCTGTATGCGTGCAACCTTGGACGTCACACGTGCAGACACTCCTAATCGTCCGGTTGTTGATTAGGGAAACCCATACTTTTTGTCCTGTATGCCGCCCCGCCCCCCACACCTTAATCTGTGTGATGAGCAACACTTACACTTACAGCCATTCATGGATATCTTTAGTCTGGCTTTAGGTTGTAGAATCTTGTGAATGTACTAGTTCCGATCTGACTTTTAGGGCACTACCTTTTTATCTTGTTTACATATTCGGGAATTTAATAAAAATGCATTAGGAAAAAAATAATCTACCAGTATTTAAAAAGGAAAGTAGTTACCATACTCAATCTGCATCATAATGTCCTATTTATGTGATTTATACACAGGCACAATAAGTATGTCTAAAGATCTTTTATTGAAGCAAATAGATTTTACAACATGTAACCCATCATTATGATTTGATCAAGGGTGTATATTATTTACAGCAAGAACTCGGCAGAGTGTCAACTGGTGTATGGCTTACTGAGGATTCTGCTACAACCCTCTATAGAGTAAGGATACTGTAATTCAAGCAAGTATTGATTTAAGGATTTTTGTAGAAGCGTCTGACAAAATTTGGCCACTTGACAATTAATCGATGTCTAAGTTAACTGTAGATGTTCTTACTAGACCTGATGGATATGATATTATTATGAAAACGATAAGAAGGTATGATGGATCAAATATTAATAATTACTTTCCATTATATATAGAGGTAGTAATTACATTTTAAAGCTTTGTGAATGGATAGGCTACTTTGCCAAATCTGAGTTAATGTCAAGAGAGTTTTGGGTGACTTCAAAGGATGCATCTCAGTTCTGTTGAATTGTTCAGGAGTGCCAAAAATGTACAGCACTTTATAACCTTACCAAAACCTTGGGTCAAAATATGTTTGATGCAAAATGTTGTATCTAAAGGTTTCTAAAATATTCCTATAACAGAAGCCTCAGTTGTCTCTATTTTAAAACTTGCACACTGAATTGTGGTAGTATATGTAACCCTGTCCATCCGTTGTCTGCAATAGCTTTATTCTGTCATAAACAATAACTGCAAATTCTAATACAATCTTGACAAGAACTGCAATTTTTAGAGCAAGAAAAGTCACACAGGGGTCAGATGCCAACCATAAACTTTGACATTCGATGCTATAAAAGATGGTTTGATGAGACATGTACCTATTACATTGCTTTAACCACATTACTGGTAATTGTCGGTGCATTAAAAAAAAACACAAACACACTGTATTATGGCCATCAACAAATATTTGTTCATCTGTAACTCATAAATGGAATTATTTACTTGTCAGTCATTTTTTGCCTCCTCAGACTTGTTAAGTTTATGTCAGAAGTTTCAGTGACCATATCTCCAAAGTTATTTAATGGATATGAACTAAACTTATTATTATTTAAATTATTCAAGCAGCTAGCAAAAAACTTGGTGATGTTCCATTAAAAGGCTCAATTCCACTCTTGTTGTAAATGAATAATATGTCCCAATCTTTATTCTGGTCAACAAATTGCACTATTTTACAATATTCCAATTAATTGATGATACAAATTTCATCTTAACACACCTAATTTAAAAAATTGGAAAAATTCAACTAAACGATTTGAAAAGCCTGACGTAAAGCTTTTCAAATGTGACTTGGATTTAAAAATATTTTTGAACCCTCTGGACAAGTAAAATAGGATTTAATGGATAATTTACACAACAGGTAGGACACTAACACATAGTACTTAGAATAAGGCTATTTTTTTATTTTCTGGAGCTGTCAAGCCAGCAAGAGTGTTATTGTCCCTTTAATACAGAGATAATTATATTTACATGTACCATAATTACTAATTAATCAAGTAATACTATTTATAATTACATAGACAAATTAAGTCTGCAATCAAATGACAACTATTACAAATTAGTAAGCTTACATTCTATATAATCAGACTGACATTTTGTCTAGATACTGTAATGACTCAACATTAGCAGATGGTCAATAAGATTGGTCTGGTCGTTGTCCTTTTTATATGCCCACATTGAAATGTGGTCATATATTGTCGTCGCTCCCGTCCGTCTGTCCGGCTCTAGAGGCTAAAGTTAATATCACTAATTTCCGATAATTACTGCCAGAGTTATGACCCTTGATCACTTTGAAAAATCTTGTGGATGCTCTAGAGGCTAAAGTTAATATCCGATTGACTTTAAATTTATGCACAGTGTTTAAGGTCATGAGACGAAAAAGCTTATTGATTTTCAGCGATTTCCGATAATTACTGCCAGAGTTATGGCCCTTGATCTCTTTGATGATTTTCTTTTAATTACTTAATGAGTTGTTACCCTTAATCAGATTTTAGTGTATTATAAATGTTTCATTACCGAAAAAAGTAAAAATAAGCGACAACTCTTGTTGACTGTCATGACGATTTAGCTGCTGTGGGCGTATGTTTCGTTGCCTGGCAACCTATCTTTATTCTTTCATGTAATTTAAAATCAGGTTTTGTTCATTTCAAAATGTCATATGATAAAAAGATAAAAGGAATGGAAGGTTGTTTTTTTTTTTTTAAAGTCTTGTCATATATTTTACCATTTTGATTCAATGGTAGTTTTTATACGCCTACATGGAAATGTGGACGTATATTGCCGACTTGCCGTCGCCCCTGTCCGTGCGTCGGTCCTTGTCCACAATTTCTTGTGAACGCTCTAACTCCAAAAGTTAATATCCGTTTGTTTTATAATTGATATGTGGTTTACATTAGTGAGATGAAGAAACCTATTTAATTTCAATAATTTCTGTTCATTACGTCTAGAGATATGGCCCTTGTTTCACTTTGTTGAACCTTGTGAACGCTATTACGCCAAAAGTTATATCATCCGATCTTTGTGAAATTGAAGAAGCCTATTGAATTTCAGCAATTTCTGTTAAATACATCTAGAGTTATAGCCCTTGTCTCACTTTATTGAACCTTGTGAACACTCTAACGCCAAAAGTTATCATCTGATTTTTCTCAAATTTATTAGTGAAACAAAGAAGCCTATTGAACTTCAACAATTTTTGTTTATTATGTCTAGAGTTATGGCCCTTATTTCACTTTATTGAACCTTGTGAACGCTCTAACGCCAAAAGTTATCACCCGATCTTTGTAAAATTTATATGTATGATTTAAATTAGTGGAATCGAAGAAGCCTATTGAATTTCAGAAATTTCCATCAATTACTTCTAGAGTTATGGCCCTTGTTTCACTTTTGTTGCACCTTAGGAACGCTCTAACATCAAAAGTTATCTGCCGATCTGTATGAAATTTATATCATCATTTAAATTAGTAAAGAGAAGAATCCTATTGAATTTCAGCAATTTCCGTCAATTACTTCTTGAGTTATGGCCCTTGTTTCACTTTGTTGCACCTTGGGAACGCTCTAACATCAAAAGATATCTATCAATCTGTATGATATTTACATGTGTCATTTAAATTAGTAAAGAGAAGAATCCTATTGAATTTCAGCAATTTCCGTTTATTACTTCTAGAGTTGTTTCACTATGTTGAACTTTGTGAACGCTCTAACCTCTAAATTCTACAGTTATCTGCCGATCTGTATGAAATTTATGTGTGCCATTTAAGTTAGTAAAAAGAACAATTCTATTTAAGTTTAGCAATTTCTGTTTATTATGTCTAGAATTATAGCTCGTTTCACTTTATTAAACCTTGTGAACGTTCTAACACCAAAGTTATCATCCGATCTTTGTGAAATTTATATGCATTATTTAAATTAGTGAAACGATTAAGCCTATCGTTTTTCAGCAATTTACAATAATTACTTCTAGAGTAATGGCCTTGTTTTACTTTGTTCAACCTTGTTAATACTCGATTGATGAAAGTTAGCATCCGATATGTATGGAATTTTTGTATGCATCATTTAAATTTGTGAAACAAGAGGTCTATTGAATTTCAGCAATTTCGGTCAATAACCTCTAGACTTATGGTCCTTGTTTTACTTTGTGAACCTTGTGAACATTTGAATGACAAAAGTGATTATCCTATCTGTATAAAATTTATATGCATTATTTCAATCAGTAAAACGAAAAAGCCTGTCAAATTTCAACAATTTCTGTAGACTACATCCAGAGTTGAGGCCCTTGTTTCAGTTTGTAGAACCTTGTGAACCCTCAAACGACAAAAATTATTATCGGATCTGTATGGAACTGTCTTGTAAAGGCCCCCAATTACCTACAAAGGAATAAATGTGACAACCCTTGTCGACTGCTCAGACAATTTAGCTGCTGTGGGAGTATGTTTCATTGCCTGGCAACCTATCTTGATTTCTATTGTTATGTATGCGATGTGAGTGGGGATAATTTTGACTGGACAGTGACATTTCAGCTTCCTCTTCTTTGAATTCCAACTGCTACGTATTCTTTTACATGTATATGCACAGCTGTACATATTACATATGTGGACCTTGTCCCATCCAAATGACTTGGCATGATTCCTTGTCAGCCATGTAGGTGCCAGACATGTGAGAACAGGGTTTGAAATAGCCCAAGGGTTTTCTTGGCACACTCTAGGATTAAAACTTTGGACATTATAGTCAATAGACTAGTGCCCTACTGCGTCCCAATGATTAGAATGGGAAGGTAGGCCTATACAGTAGATCTATCTAAAAGGAGTCAGGTGGCCGAGTAGTCTAGTGTATGGGTCGAATCACCTAAATGTTTGGCAAACCTCCTACCTTAGGTTATATGTAATTGTTAACTGTCTTGAATTACCATTCATAATTACCAGTACTGGAAACAACCATCTACCCTGATTTTCTATATAAGAATCGATAATGGTCTGTATTATATTATATATAATAATTGCTGGAATAGTAAGGGAGAATTGGTAGAAATCTGATTACACTCAGTGACAGCAGTACCTTTCTGTTATATTAGCACTTGATACATGAGAAAATAACAGAAAAGTGATATACAAGTTCTTTGAGGCACGTTGCCTGTCCAACCTCATGGTTTTTCTCCAGGTTCTCCGGTTTTCTCCCACTGCTAAAGACCCCTCGCTACCTCACTGACATTATTAATACACAAAAACACTCGTGTCTACCAACTCAAGAAGTTCGAAAACCTTAAAACTACAAAACCTGTTATTCCTACTACCAAAATAGTCAAAGACAAATACTTAACCAAAACAGTCATCAATCTCAGCAGTCGCAACCTATGTGATGATCAGATCACACTCCTAAGTAAAGGACTAAGTCTGGGCCATCTCACCGACCTGCCAACCAAGACCTACTAATTGCAAATATCGAAAGAGGGTTGAGACAGCTGGCACCTGGTGGCAAGATTGACTTGCTGAGACATCAAATTACTGATCTGATAGCCAAATCCAAGATGCGACGAGATGCCCACAACCTCAACAAGTCCCAAAACACCGCCCTGCAGGAACTGAAGAAAGATCCTAACATCACAATAGTAGCTGCTGATAAAGGGAAATCTACTGTTATAATGGATAAGACTGACTATCTCAAAACAGTGTCCCATCTACTGACTGATCAAACCACCTACAGGAAGATTAGGAAAGATCCCACCTAAAGCTATAGCAATAAACATACTGTCCAGTTATTGCACCTGAAAGGAAGAACCATCAAAGGTCTCCTGAAGCAAATATATCGGAGAAACTGGACAGCCTTTAGACAAGAGGATCAGTCAGCATAAATCTAAGTTCTCTACTACCAATTCAGCCGTGGCCCAACACATACAATCCAACCCAGGACACAGAATTAAAACGTATAAAACTCTGGCAGCCAACCTGAACCTCCTGATAGAAAAAAACCTGCAAACTTATTGAGGCCATACACATCAAAAGAAACAGCCCAGACCTTAACTGCAACACAGGGATATTCCTGCCAAGTGCTTATGATGGACTTATTAAATAACTTAAATATTGAGTTTTTCATCACCCCAATTTACTCATTCAGTACTGTTGAAAAAGACGACCTTAGTTAAACCTTTTATGATTATTATTATTTTTTCATGTTCCTAAGTATTATTATCAATATTTCTGTTATATCAATTCCATCACTTTTAAGATTTATCACAACAATATGGTTTATTTTATTCTAATTGGACATTTAATCACAGAGATATGGAAGCTGCTTCAAATTAATTACCGTTATCTAAACATACCATGTTATATCATACTGTAATTGTATTGTAGGTACTATTCCATTCTGTCGGTAGTATTGTATCTATCATCATAGCTACTTAATTGCTTAACTTTACTCAATGGCCTCAATTAACCTTAGTGGTAATTAGTTTTTGTGGAATATCCCCCCCCCACCCCTTGATCTTGTTGTTGTCCTGTATGGTTTCATGAATTGTTGTTATAGTTTTCCTGTATATATTGACCTCATATTTGTGAACCATATTATAGGACTTTTGACTAACTTTTAACCATATGGAACTTATTGGATGAACAGTTTTTAATATGTAAATAATTCACGGGTCCAGCTATGTGGTTTTTACTGCGAGCACTTTGCTTTTCCACATAACACAAGCAGATTCTTTTTCCCCACAGGGTTTTTTCTATTCGCACTGATGACGCCAAACATCAGTCAGCTGGACCTCCTGTTTTAACATATTTTTATTATGACAAAGGGAGAAGATGACCCGCCCTTTCTTTTTACGACAGCGGTTTTATAAGTGTGCTTTAAATTGACTTTGCAATATACAAGGACTTTTATTTTGTGTTTCTACCAATTTTAAGGAGACGTTTGTATTGTATGTTTTTACCGATTTTCAACCCATTAAGTGTAAATAATTTAATTAAATCAACCTGTCCATAATAAATATCATATTTAATGTAGTGGACGTTAAATCTTTAATAAACAACAACACCCAACATATGCATTACTGTATTAGCTTGATAACGTTGAGAGAATACTCTTCGAAACGTCGCCCAAATAAATAAGTATGTGTTTTTGTGTATTGCTCTATCCAGTTACTAAATGCCTCTAACAGACTATTGACATTATTAATGTGTGGTGGCACCTAAACTGTCGACTAGTCTACCATTAGGTCTGAGATTTTATACAAAACTTCCTCTTTTTAAATCAAACCTGAAAACCTTTTTTTTTTGGAAACCATTTTTGCTCTTAAGAACTATTTTATGTTCTATTAATTTTTATTTATAATGCTGGATTTTATACCTACAGAGTACAGACTACTGAGACAAATGTGTAATGGTCTTAAAAAAACAATAAATATTATTTTTAAATACATGTATTATAAAAGATGAGTTTTGATGAGTGGTTGGTGAATGTAAGAAATTGTACTGAACTGATTCAAAATATCATTATCACTAAACAATCTCAAATCAGTATGTTTGTTTTAGTTACAGTTTACAATGATTTACATCTCTATGTACATTACATGTAGGTTATCATATGAAGGACAAAGGTCATACATATATTTGAAATTCGAACTCAACCTTCCCTGATGTGTAACGGTGATATATTTAAATGTTTTTTTAAAATTAGAGGGTCCACAAGCTAAAACGCGATTTTTCTTACATACTGCAGCCATAATCCAGGAAGTTACGGTTTGATATGTGTAAATATCAAGAAGAAGCACGATCTTTGGATTATAAACATTCATCAAAATTGGATAGAAATTGTGACTTCTAGAGGATCCACAACCTTGGTACATGTATTACATACTTTCACACTATTTGCGTACAAGGAGTGGCCATTTTGTCTGCCACTTTCGGTCAGATTTTTACGAAATTTGAACGAAAACCTTCATTAGGGTGGAACGGTGATATAGTCACACGGTTTTTTTTAAAATCTGATAAAAATTGTGACCTCTAGAGGGACCACAAGCTAAAAACAAGATTTTTCATACAATCAAGGGCCATAATTCAAGAAGTTACAATCCAATGCATCTTTAAATGCTACTCCCTAATTAATGACAGCTTCAAGTTTCTATTAGAAAAGAACCAAGATCTTTAGGACTTATAAATATGTATTTCAAGTTTCATAAAAATCGAATAAAAATTGTGACCTAGAGGGTCCACAACCTTGATATACCATATGTTTACACTATTTTCGAATGAGGGGCGGCCATTTTGTCCGGCAGTTTTGGTCTGATTTTCACGAAATTCGAATTCAACCGACATTACGGTGTAATGGTGATATATTGTAACCTCTAGAAGGACCACAAGCTAAAAACGCGATTTGTCGTACAATCAAGGGCCATAATTCAGGAAGTTACGATCGGATATGCGGGAATATCGAAAGGATCTTTGGATTATAAACATGCATTTCAAGTTTCGTCAAAATCAGATGAAAATTGTGACCTCTACAGTGGTCACAAGCTAAAAATGTGATTTTTCGTACTATCAGGGGCCATAATCCATGAAGTTATGATCCGATACATGCCAATATCGAAAGTAGTTATCACCATTCTATTTCTTCAGGTGTTGATCTGCTTCATCTGACTGGTAATGTATCACACATATATATTCGCTTTGCACCTCTTAATGAAGAGCTATTACCCTTGGGGTTTTTTTTTTTGCAATGTTAATACCACCTCAGTATATGGAAATTCTTGTTCACAGATTAAGTGAGTAAGATGCTGACTCGCCAGTCTGGGGTTTGCTGTCGGTGTTGGCCACGAAAGTTCATTGGGATTTTACGGCGTGGTTTTCCCATTCAGTCTGGCAAGGACAACTGTCTAGTCGATTGGATGGGACAAAAAACTGAGGCCCCATGTACACATTGGCGTGCATGTAAACGATCCCATGTCAGTTGGAATTCGATATAAGAGTAGCCTGTAGTGCCGCTGTCTGGGCAAAATTTCCCTCATAGCACACTGTATGGCATAAGCCCGTCTTCATTAGCCCAGTTGGAGCAGAACAGTAGGACGTTTAACCCCATTTCATTCAATTTCATAGATTTCAGATTCAAGATAAAAATCAAACTATTAATGCCACCTCAGTTCATTAGATTTAAGCTTTAAGATAAAAATCAAAATCTCTAATACATTGTTTGGTCTGCTACATAAATCATACATGATCTCACTTTTTCTCATTTCAGATTTTTAAATGGAAGTATATTTATATTTATAAAGCATCAAATACAGCCGAAATGGATAGATGACATTTAGTGATATATTGATACATATAGCTATCATGTTTCATGTAAAATAGTAACATATTTCCAATTCCAACAATGTGTATAAAATCTATATTCTAAATATAAAAACGGATAACATTTATAGACTAATCATATAATCTGAAAATGTCAATTCTCCAAAGAACTAAGCGACGCTTCTTATTTGTATGCTTAGTTGCAAGTGCTTTAATGCTAACATTTTCCTGGCATCTCTTATGGCAGTCATACAATCCAGCCATCATTAAACGAAATAAAGTTGTGAATGTGGAGAGCAGTGTACCAATGGGATCAGTATTTCACACCAACGTAAGTGAGATTTCCACTGACAATACATATAATTCACACAATAATAATGAGTTCATCAATAAGAAAAAAATCCAGTCTACCATTATAAGTGTTAGTCAGGAAAACGTTAACAGCATTTCTCAATTACCAACAGACCAACTACATACATTAACAAATTTGAGTACCATATTATCAAAGAATTTAAAAGAAACATTGACAAGGGCACATAATATAATGGAAAAACTCAAGACTGGTCTCTCATTAAATATGAATGATCTAGAATTTCTGGGGAATTTGAAGAAACAGCTGAATAAAATACCCCTTAATAGCTCAAGTAAAATGACATCTGCTCCCCATTCTTTACCAAATAATTGGCAGAAGTACAACTATCTGACTAAAAACATCAATAAAACCTTAGATTCTACACATAAAATCCTCCAGAATATAACCGCAGCAGCTCCACAAGACTTTAAAAATTTAGAAATAGACAAACATTCCTTATCTAATCATATAAAATCTAGTTTTCAACAAGATAATCATTATGTAAACAGGATTAATCCTGATTCGTCCAGAAATGCAACCAAAAATATACGACAGCTTAGTGATATAAGCATGGAGGATCTTCAAGATACTTGGAATAAAATGAAGAACAATCGTCCATATGAAAAAGAAAATAATAAATTTAATCAAGCAGTGTTTTTACCCGATAGTGATTCAGATACAGGCGAGACAAGCTCAGATCGACCAGATTTTTGTAGGTCGTGTTTCAGTTACGAGTTTCCTATCATTATCAATCAACCACGACTATGCAAAACAGATGAAACAATCCGTCTGCTTATGTTCATATCGTCTGCTCCAAATAAACGTGAGGCCCGTGTGGTCCTTCGTAAAACATGGGCAGCCAAATGTAGAGAACGAGATAGTAACATGAAATGTTTATTTGTGATCGGACGGTCTGAAGTTGACACGGACAACCAAAATATTATAACAGAAAACAAAACATATGGTGATATACTTCAGATAGATTTTAAGGATTCTTATGGTAATTTAACTTACAAAACAATAACCAGTTTTCGTTGGGCGGCCAAATTTTGTAGCAAGGCCAAATATGTGATGAAAACAGATGACGATATGTATGTAAATACCGAACTTATTCCAACTATGTTAGAAGTTGCACCAACTAAACATTTTGCAGGAGGATTCTGCTGGGGTTCCAGCAGTCCAAATCGTGACTTATCATCAAAGTGGTTTGTTTCTTTTAAAATGTACAGAAAACAAAGATTTCCTCCAATGTGTTCTGGAACGGGATATATATTGGGAATGGATGTAGTTCGTAAAATTTTAGCAGCATCTCACAATATCCCATTTTTCCATTTAGAAGATGTCTATGTATCCTTGTGTTTGCAAAGATATGGAATAATGCCCTTAAATATTTTAGGTTTTAATAATATGTATACAGAATTTGAAGCATGTCGTTATAGGAACTCAGTCATGACATCACATGAATTTCCTACAAAAATGTTGGAAGATTTCTGGCCTGTGATTCAAGCGTGTCCTGCTAAATCTGTGTCTCCTACAGACTTGTATATTGTTATTCCATATCCTATAACTGACTGAAATTTTGTTAATAGTGTCTTTTATGGATTTCATTTGCTACATGACCATTAAATGTTTTAAACATATCATGATATATTATCAAAATTATTGTTACTGAATTTTTATTTATCAACATGTTACTAATTTTCACAATAATGTATGCATTTGAAATATACCCTGGGTGATATACTCAATAGATACATTATACATACCTTTATGCAGATTTATTCAGTAATAAAGCCAACCAAGGCATTAGCGTAGCTTTATCAAAGAAAAATACTTGCGGAAAGTTAATATACGATAATCAGAAAATCAATTTCCTTAGACTGTTTTCCTATAAGCAATGATGATATCATCAGTCACAGAGAATCGTTCATGTAGTCTTAACATATTGGAACTACATATCATCAAGTTACTTGTCTATTTGATCTTTTAATTATATCTCTTTGTTAGTCTGTGTAAAGAATGAAAGCAAAATAAAATGGAAATTACTGTCTTGGAGATAGCTAATTAATTATGATCATTTTGATAAAAAGTCTATTAAAACAATTTCAAATGCCAAAATTTTACGAACTTGGTGATGAAGAAATGATTATTGCAAAATTTATAAAATTATTCTTATAAATGCACAAAACATTATACAATAAAGTCCAGAAATTGACATTCTGATATTCAATGTTAACTCAATTTTGTTCATGACATATCCATTAACTTGTACAACTATATACTTTAATAATATATCTCATGTGAATGATTGCTATAGCAACGTACATATGCAATACATATGTTTGTGTTATAGAATATTTTGATAAATTTGATTATATTTTTCTAGAGGATTTTGAGTGCATGTTGGTGAAAAATAGTGATTTAGAGCAAGTTGTTATTTAGAATATATTGCGATATTTTACAAAACTTGGTAGTTCCACTGAAGTTGGGTTATTGTTTAGGGATTTTTCTTTTTGTCCATGGAAATAAGTTGAAATGATGAGTAATTTTCTTCTTCTTTCATGAGATTGATGTTAGCATGTTTTCATGGTTATGATGCAGCACATTCCTGATATTAATCGCAAGAAAAAAAACATCCAATCAACATTAGTTATATCTAAAAGAAATTTACTATTCAATCCTAAAGCTCTAATTAAGATATGTCCCTCTCAGATAAGTGTACACATACAACATTGTACATTGTAATTTGATCTTGGAGACAAGAGGTGTATTAAAATACTTTTAATGTATCATATTATTATAGCCAGCTGGTTTCTATATTTACATTATTATGTTCAGGTGGTACTATTTTTATTCCAGAAGCTTTTTTTTCTATACTGGCTTTTATGGAGGTTTATATTTTTCCTACAATTGGGTTGACTTAAAATGGTCTGATTCAGGTATCTTAGAACTACGGTAGCTGCAATATTGTTGCGTCGATGTGATCTCCGCTACAAGTGGTACATTCATTGAGCTTTGCTCAAGTAAAAATAGCATTGGATCTAAAGGGTTAAGGGAGTTACAGGCCTGTAACTTTTTTGTAATCAAATGATTACAATTCAGGACATGTCTGTAGCAAAATAAAACCACTCTAAATTTGATATAAATATGAAGAAATTGTATAGCCATTCTTTGCAAAGGTTCCTAAGTGTGAATCTATTTCGATTTAAAATGGTTCAAATATTATCCAACGTGACACATTATTTATGTCTCAGTCGGGAAAGTCCCAATTATTTGTATCGTAACATTTCTATGCACATATCAGCTTTCTAAATGATGTGATTGGCTTTTTTCCCTTTTTCATACGGCATGGGCTATTTCTGAATAGGATAATAGATGCCATTTCTCTTGGTAGGGCTTACTAAATTGAACAATAGTGGGATCATAATCCGTTATAATCCGCTGGAGTCCACAATTGCTTGTGGACGTTCTAGAGGCTAAAGTTAATATCTGATTGACTTTACACACAGTGTTTAAGGTCATGAGACGAAGAAGCCTAAGGATTTTCAGCGATTTCCAATAATTACTGCCAGAGTTATGGCCCTTGAACACATCAAAAATTCTTGTGGACGCTCTAGAGGCCTAAGTTAATATCCGATCGGCGTTAAGTTTATACACAGTGTTTACGGTCACGAGACGAAGAAGCCCACCCGTTCAGACGGCCAAGATAAACCAGTTTAAAATAAAAGCCTTCTGGAAGACAGGTCGTGAGTTGGTGTTTTTAAACTGGTTTATTTGCCTCACATTTTTGTCGGATGACAAAGTTAAACTGGTTTAACGATACGTTGGTTTTTTAAACCAGATCAACTTAAGCATCTAGACGGTTCATTAGAGAGCAATAAACTGTAACACATACTTATAGAAGAGCTATTACTAAATTATTTGGTTGGGCTTTGAAGAGTATTCTTTTAACAATTTCACACAAGTGTGCTTTGTTAATTTTTATGCAACAATAAGCAAAATATTAAGACAAAATTATTATGGTGAGGAAGTATTTAGTGTGATTATTTCTGTGATAATGCTTAGTCAATACTAAAGTCATCTTGATTTGAATATTACATGAATAAATTATCTGATTATTTTCATAAAATAAAATGGTGATATGCAATCAAATTGTAATTAGATGCTATATTATGTTGATACTTCTTTATCAGTTTTGTTCTCTTTCAAGTCTGATTTGAGTCACTGTGGTAGGCTCGACTGTTATTGCAAAAACAAAGGCATCTTTTCTCTGGCTAAATTAAGGGTCAAGTATTGCCAGTTCAATACAAAATACTTAAAAAAGCATTATACAATATTTAGATAAAGAGCTGGTCGTTCTTGCTGTAATAGTTCAACACAAAATACTTAAAGAAGCATTATATAACATTTAGATAAAGAGAGAGAAAAATGGGGTTTAACGTCCACTCAACACAAACTAGGTCATTTCGGGACTAACATATGGTTTTAATTTTATTTCAATAATTCGCTTGCGCGTAGGGGTCTTTAGCAGTGGGAGGAAACCGGAGGACCCGGAGAAAACCCACAAGGTTGGACAGACAACCCCACTCGTTGTCACGTACAACCAGGGATTCGAACCCACGCCAGTTGACTCAATGACAGGACTTATGCCTTATGATACAGCACGCACATGCTAACCGTTCGACCATCCAACCCCCAATTTAGATAAAGAGCTGGTCGTTCTTGCTATAATAGATATTGCAAAATGAATATATTGAAAATTTCATTCAAATTACTTTATTCTGAGCGAAGATATTAGCATTTGAAGGTTTGACAAGATGTGTGCACTGATTGTAACCACTGCACTGGATGTTTGAGGCTTAGCCTCGCTTCACCATTTTTAAATGAAATCATTAAATGGCTGAATCGTTCTAATCTACTAAAAACTGGACCTATCCAATGGCATCGAGAGTTGATTATGGTCTTGTCATGTTAATAAATGTCTAATTAATAGTTTATATAACTTTTAAGGCCTAAAGAAAGACCTGCAATAGGCAGATTTAGCTCTTGCATAATGCCTGATGTTGCTAGACCATTGTAGTGTAAATTTAAATAACACAAGAACCAAAATAATGTAAAAGTATGGTGTGATATTAATCAGATTGTAGTGATAAGATTACATAGTATTTCATAATGGTGTAAGTTGTAAGTAAGTTTTTAAATTTTTAAATAGATATATTATTTATTAGAATCAACATGTATATTATACATTTTGAAATGGGGTTGCTTTTGGGTTTTTCCCTGTAAAATCTAATACCTAGTACACCCTACAAATATATCATTATCATGTCAAATGTATCATTGATGGAAAAATATTTGATTTTATACAATGGAAATAAATACTTAGAAAATATATACAAATTGTATTTTTCCATGGCCATATTTAATTGTGGTCATGTCATATAGAATGGGATACTTTAAAGTCAAATAGTATAGATATTCATCTTCAAAAGCCCAAAATATTCAACTCTATTTCACTGGTCACTTACAAGGAATTTTTTGACGGACGGAGACAGACAAATCAATAGGTGTCACCCCTTCTTGGTTCCAATTCGAAGCTTCACACCATAAAAATCAAAAATAATCCATAAATAATTGTAGCCTGTAGGGTGAGCACAAGTTGGAACATATTGCAATTGGAATGAAAACACTTAAGTCAAATACCTGATCCATATCTCAGATATATTATTGGATTTTCACAAAACAATTTCATTTACTTCAATCTTAATAAATCATCATAATTCAATCATTTTATGTTTCCTAGTTGGGGGAGGGGCTTAGGTGGCCGAATGATTAACGTGTGCGCTTTGCACCATAAGGTCTGCATTGAGTCAAGTGGCGTTGTTTCGATTACCCGCTTGTACGTGACAAAGAGTTGGGTCACCCTCCAGCTTCATGGGTTTTCTTACTGTTAAACGGTTGTGTGTCAGTCTCTGTGAACGCCTGAACAATGTAAAGGAACATTTTAGTGAGAAAACAAGACCTTGCTTACCACGCTAGAGTCAGTATGTGCTAAACATTGAGGTCTTGATGTGGGATGGCGTACGGATTTACGTGGCTTGGCCATATAAGACGAAACGAAATTTAGGTAAGCTGGGGTGGGGAAAAATTAGAATCGTTGAAAAGCTGAGGAACTTCAGTCAATTATTGCTTTGCCTAGCCCAATTACAATCAAATTATTTCAAAAATTCTAATTTCGTTTCGTCTTATACGGCCGAGTTGCGCAAATTTGTGCACTGCCCTGTATTTGGATTTCAATGACGTCAGCCAGGCTGTATTTTTTACAGCATGTTGTGAACATACTGCCGATCCGACTTAGGTGAAGGAAAAAAGCCGGAATTAGATCAAATGGACCGAACATTTTGTTCCGAGTTGAGCTTAGATCCTACTTAGGAAATCCGACTTACACACAGAAATTCAATAAGAAAAAACGAGCAGGATCAAAGAGTCCAAACGATTTTATCCAGTGGGTGAGACCTCGACCTGTTTCCAAAAATGAAAAAGGAACTAGCTGGTCGTCATTTTCCTAGTAATGATGATGCCATGTAAGCTGTGAACAACTTTTTTAGGGTGGCTGAAGAAAATTTCTTCCTGACCGGCATCCAAGCCTTGCAACATCG